CCTTGAGGGGGGGGGTAGCATATATATATATATATATCTGGTAACCCCCATGAACTACCGAGCCTCGTTTTGTATCGCAAATACCGTGTTAAGCCAGCTTTTCCGGCAGGTCCGGATTCCGTATGTCTCAAAGACTGCCAAAACCAAACTCACATTTCAAGGGAACACGCTAGACAACTCGTTCAGGTTCTACGTGAGCACGCACTCAACGGCATCACGGTACTCTTCCAATCAAAACCAACCGCCAGCAACTCGTTCAGGATCGACGTGAGCACGCACTTTAACGGCAACACAATACTCTTCCCATCCAAACAAACATTTCCTTAGGGAAAACCAAACACAACATGTTTTGGGAAACTATACGGCCGTACTCCAAAAATATGTTTTTTTGGTCTTACCCATGGTTTTCGGCAGAAAAAATATCTTTTTCATAGGAAAAAGATGGTGTTGGGCTGAAAAAACCAGTTTTTCCTAGGGAAAGCATAAACATCTTTTCGGAAACTATGCGGCCAAACTCCAGAAAGATTGTTTTTTTGGTTTTCCCTAAGACAAAATTGGTAAAAGATGGTTTTGGGCTGAAAAACTTTTGCTAGGAAACAGATGGTTTTCGTCGGAAATACAAACCTTTTCCAAGGAAAAATTGGTTTTGGACTGAAAAACCAAATTTTGCCGAGGAAAAAGATGGTCCTGGGCAGGAAAACCAAAGAAAGACTCTTGTTGGAGTCTGGCCGCATCGTTTCCCACAACTTGTTTTTTATTTTTCATTGGTTTCCCAAGGCAAAAGTTGGCTTTTCCGTTCAAAACCATCTTTCCCCTAAGAAAAAACTGTTTTTCGGCCAAAAACCATTTTTGTCTTAGGAAAAGTTGGTATTTCCCTCCAAAACCAAGGGTTTCCTAGCAAGGAGTGTGCATGTCATGTGTTTGCGCGCGTTACGAATTGCCGTTGCCAAAAAGGTTCCAGGATCATTGCTATTGGGATTCGATTCCGCTCAGCATTAATACTCTAAAATATACTGGGTAAGAACGAGAACATTGTTCGGATCAGTTGGGGGGTCGATAGAGAGCTGGTTATCACAGCTACCGCTACGATGCCTTCTAGCCGACTGAGGTTGTAAATTAAATAAGAAAAACATCGGGNNNNCGACTATGGATGGCCTTCGTGCTGCTGTCAGGGGGAACATTACGGTCATCATTGATATAAGGGCGGATGACGAGGATAGGGTTAGGGTTGATGTTGTTTCCATTCAGGAGTCAGTTGACGATCCTCGCCATTATGTTGGTGTCTAGTACAGGTTTAACACCAGGGTTAGCATTTGTATATACACACATATATGTACATACACGCATACGGGCAAGTCCGCCTGCAAGTCTGGCATGATCATATACTATTATATTGAGAAAGTGGGTGCCATATACAATATGTTGAGGTAAACATACAAATGCTGGTATCATCCCTAAAAATCTAAGGGCCATCATTTGGGGAACGCCAGCGAACACAGCAAGTATCGTGGTTCTTAATGGAATTCGCTTGTGTAGTTTATTATTAGCATGAGTATGACGGCAACCGTTGAAGCAAATGCTTGGGCAGTATTTAGCGTCATGTACTGATATTAATCGTAACTAATATGGGGGATGCCACGGCTATTTAACTTGGGGGACTGGAAAGGCGGTCCCAGAGTTACATCTGGATGAACGGACCTGTTGATGAAGCCAATGGTCGGGGTTTCTCCGAAGGCCATTAAATTTGGGTTGCAGTTGAAGGAAGTATCCGGTACAGGGAAGCTCTTATGGGGTAATAGTACATTTGCGAGCAAGGTCCATCTTTGGGGGACGGCATTATCCTTGCTATCAGGGGGCCAATCAGGCTGATGNNCCTTCAGGTCGGTATGGGGGTTGATATGGGAATGTATACATAAGGGGTTACGAGTCGACATAACATATTTAATCCATACGAACTAAGATGTCAAACTATAAGGCATCCTTTGTCGGTGAACATGAACTACCAGACTACTGTCACCATTGGGGCCAATGTCAAGTCTAATGGCACGGGTAGTCTTAGGGATATTGTTGTTTAGGAACAGGAGTCAGTAAAGGTTCACGGTCGTTCATACGTATTGCTGGGGCTTTGATCTGGGACTACGGTGAAGGCTACCTTGCGAGTTTATCCTCGCGGTAATTCTGGTGGGGGGGGGGGGGTAGCATATATGTATAATGTGTATATATATATGTATACATATATACATGCATATATATATATATAATATTCACACACGCATACAAACTTGCTCGTGTTCTATACATGTAATTTGTCATGCTTATGGAATGGACTGTGGATCTAGTTGTTGCATGTTGCTACTTACAGAATGCTGGATGACTCGTACCGGATGCTCTTCTGCTCGAGGTCGAAGGGATTTTGTTGAAGGTGTGGAGTTTAGGATGTAGTACTGTTTTGGGTTGGGGCTTGATGAATCGGCGGGGCTGGGGGATGGTCGCTTCGTGCCGCCACGGTGCCGATGGCAATGACCACAAAGAACATCATAAGGATGCTATTGAACAGGCCCTCACAGAATCAGGGCCAATCGCGAATTTGTGCCTTCATGCATGAGCTTCTGCCACCTCCTCTGGCGGCGCCCCAAGCCACGACTTGGTTCGTTTCGGGCATTGCAGAGAGGGAGCAGTGTCCAACGTTGTCCGTTCTTGTTGCCAAGAAGCGGAGGTATAGGGCCCCTTTTCCTTTGCATGTTCTTCCAGGTCTTTCTTGTCTTCCGCCAAATAGGATCGCCTGAGATGCTCAGATGCAGCAATGCTAACGCCAAGACCAAATTTGAAGGCAACAGAGCTCCCCTCTCCCAGGAACAGATGCAGTCCAAGTCTCAAAGGGTTCAGGATGATGCAATACAGCATCAAGCCAATGATAAACCACATCCTCATGTAGCATGAACATTGGGCTTCCGACTGCCATGTAGACATCAGACATTCACGCAGAGGACAAACTAGCAGCTGCAGCCGGAAACTAGCTGCAGAGCAATTGACTGCTACCCATCAGCTGTGCTCGCCACAGGTTTGTCTGCACATGTCGGCATACATCCTCGTACTACTAGTAGTCGGCATGCGGGCTTGATGCGGCTGTTGGCTCGATTGCCAGATACCAGAAACCCAACAAGACCTGGAAGAAGGCGCCTACCAGATTCAAACGAGCTTCTGGAAAATCACGTTGAAGAAGTCGTGCTTCCAGTCCTGCTTGCGCGATTCGCCGTCGTCACAAGAGTCGCAAGGGGTCCGAAACTAAGGGTAAGGAGTCGACTTGGGATCGGACCATGCCAAGGCCAATCCATGCAGCCCAGTTTACCACAATGCCAATGGCCGCGTACAGGCCCAGGCGAAGGCAGAAATCTGTCGGTGCAGGCTGTGTGGCAACTGCTTCTTGCTTTGCGATTCGCTCGGATCTAACTTCGCTGCAGCCATGAAGCTGAGAAGGGGCTTGCCTTAGGAAGGCTGCGGAAGGATGCAGCGACGGGGATGCGATGGGCTTTGCCGAGTGGCTGGACAAGCAGAAGGCAATGCCGCAAACTAGCACAATCCTAGGCCGCTCCGTGAGAATCGCAACTGCAGATCGCAATTTGCGGAGAAGCCCGAGGTGTAGGCCATTGCAGAGTCCACTGCTGGTCCCAGATTACATTCCACTCCTTGCGATCTCCACACTGCGGACCCGCTCAGCTCAACCCTCGAAGTCAGATAAGTGCCAGGGTGCTGAGTAGGTGCCATCGCCATGATCGATGGCAACTAACCTGAGCAGAGAAACACGTAGGTATCTATGCTTCCTTCACGAGGACCTGCACTGCTACATCGTGCTGTCGACGATCGTGTGTCACTTTGCGCAGTTCTGCTATGTGGGGGTTTCCAAAAATAGGGGACCCTAATATAGTACCCTAAATAATAGGTTCCTTATTATAAGGACCCCAAAATAAGGTACCCCTTATTTTCGGAAAGTCCCATGTCGTTGATGTCACAGAGAAAGTGTGAAGATCCGCCCTGAGCTGCAGACAAGCTGCAAGACACATACTATTCTGGTCACATCCAAGTGAACATATCCACCCTTGGGGGTCTGATTCTTCGGTGGAAGGAGTCCTTAGTGGAGGTGTTCAGCACCACTCTCATCTTCCAACATGTAACGATGTTGCCAGAGTTGACATGAAGGACACTGTTTGGGGGTTGAGCGGCTGTCAGTGTCAACTTCGTCAAGTTGATCGTCAGCTTTTCCCGAGTAGGCTGTCTCGGCAACTCCTGGTGCAGCCGTTTGCCGACTAACTCTCGCAGAGATGAGATCTGACTGAGAGCCCACATGCCGTGCAAATCGGGGGCATGTGATCCCAACCATCTAATTCCGAAAATAAGGGGTACCTTTTTGGGGGGTCCTTATAATAAGGATCCTACTATTTAGGGTACTATAGTCTAACGTGCCTGGCTGCAGAGGTGTTGTCTCATTCTTCTCTGCATCGTATGACATATCCTCGGGGGGCTGCTTTGGACACAGGGCAGGACCGCGATTGACCACTTGACCGCTACGAGTGCAGTACCAGTATGTCACTTGCAAGGCGTAGCTCTCCAAGTCGAGCGGCAGTTGTGTCGGCTGAGCCCATTATGAATTACTTCAGTACCGGATTCGAGCCAGGACTGAACGGAGGAGGCAGATCGAGAAGCAAAGCAGGGAATGCTAGACTTCAATGTCTGCCTATGCCACGCGTTGACTTTTCGCCTGCAGCAGGGCGTCAAGACTGTCCGAGGAGTTGGGCGTTTGCCGCGCAGCATGACGCTTTAGCAGTAGCTCTGTGGCGAAACACTGCCTGCTGCTTGGTATCTACAACACTGCAGGGAGCTGCAACTGTAACATCTGAACAGGAGGTGCTAGGAAGATCTGGTGATCAGCTTTCCATCCAGGGAGAGTAGAAAGATAAAGTTCTGCGGAGCAATTCAAATGCACGTCCTGGGCCAAACAGGACGGTGAAACTGATACTAAGAGGCTCAAAGGAGTGATGCCGTCCCGCAAACTAGGGCTCAATCACACTCTCTCGACATGCAGCCGTACAGGCCGTACAGCTTCATGTTCACTTCTGGTCTTGTTCTTGGATTGTTCGTTATATACATATAAGTATATATACACGCACACACGCACTTCTCAATGCACTTCCCTGAAAACGCAGGGACGACCTCCTTCAAAGCGGCTGACTCATCGCGCTGTTCACCCCCAAGCCTCAGCTCCACGGACATGATGTCATCATTTAGGAGCCCCACATAGCCCGATACGGCTGCATTTGAGACTGGTGACTAGAAAAGAGGGCTCACCCTTAACCCCCGAGCCAAGCCCTATCGAGATCAGAAGTTCTAGTCCAGTTCGCAAGCCCGATTGCTGCTTACACAACTTCTCGGATGTGTGGTAGCATCGTGCAGTCCCCAGGAACAAGATCAAGCGCTGGTCTACGTTGTAGAGTCGAAGGGTGTATGGATTAAATCCGGGAAGTCTAGGGATCTGGAGCTGAGTGACATCTTCATCCTCTTCCTCGTCCTCCTCCCCTGACTCCTCCTCTTCGCCCTCGCCCTCCTGAGCAGCAAGAATAAGAATTTCCGTGCAAACCCCTGGTCCAGGCTCTCAAACAGTTGTGCTTGAGACCCCTTTTTGCAAGGTTGCAACAAAGGCCTTTTGGGGTTGCTTGGGTTCAAAAGTAAACCATGCCTCCATCATTCAACACAAGCAAACTCCTCGATAAAAGCTCTAAGCCTTACACACTGTACCAAAATCCGTAAACTACAGGGGCCTTCAATATCAGAAAAGGGCTTGGGGTAGATTATACTATAACTATATATACAGGGGCTAGAATAGGAAACTCGCGAACCTCCGCCCGTTTGCCTGACCGTCATTGTTTCTGCTCTCATGAATTCTTGTTAACAGGGAAACCGACGCTATCCTTTTTGCTCTTGTCGCTTTACAAGAAAAAACTCAGATAATCAACTTAAGGACAGGCTTTGTACCCCATACCTGTGTTCTTCTTTCGTTTTTTGTTAGCATGCCTGTATATTACGTAGTACCTTTTCCGACCCGGCCCTGCAATCCCAGCCATCCGCTCCAAGCGCTGGATCCTCAGCTGATTACTTCCGGCCCAAATCGCACAAGTTCCCACTCGCCAGAGATCCCCAAAGTACCAGAGGCTTGCAGATCCTCTAACGAAACTACCAGAAACACCCTCTACATCCTGAAGAGAGGAAAAGCCATACTATACTATACTATACTATACTATACTGTACTATACTATACTATTCTATACTATAATATACTATACTTTGCGATACTTTTCTATTCTACACTTTTATATACTACAATATTCGGCTCCCCCCGAGCAAACCGGAGCCCGGCCCGGAGCCCTACACGATCAGTCCTCCATGTCTTCTTCCTTGTCTTCCCGTAGGGTCCCACGGAGCCAGTCCAGGAATACGTTGACCTGCAAAGATCTGCAAATCAGAAGGCTTTCAAGCTTTTGCCTTTTGAGTCTTTTTGAGGTTCACCTTGTTTGTTGCATTGCTGTGTGTTTGTGACGAGTTTGAGGGTTTGGGGTGGCCGGCTTTGGTTGAGGTTGCAAACATTACTAAACAGTCATAGCCAAACTGCGAGCGATGTGAGTAAAGAAAATGACATGGTCATGTTAAACCTAAACTTGACCGCTCATTGTTGCGCCAAAGGCTTCTGCGCGTGCGGGTTTCAGATAGGCTAACGGTGGTCCAGAGTTCCACAGTCCCGAATGTGGAAAGCTCGTGCCGCGCTGCAGAGCTCGCCTCAAGTATAATTCTAGTATTGCCGTGTAGGAATTGATGTCAATGTGGGCCTGGAACATGGCGTTGGTCTTGCCGGGAGTGTCATCGTCACCCATGGCCCACATGTCGAAGTAGTCTTCCTCGATGACCTGGTGGGCAAAGTTGTTGTATCTGCCGTTGATTAGCCGATGCAAAACAAGGCAGGATGAAGGGCGCATGAAGAGAAGTGTCAGGCCCAGTGGGGTCAAAGATTGACCGGCTGGGTTGTAAGCACTCTCCTTGCTCTTTCTTGTGCCGATCTTCTTCAGCTTCAACCACTGCTCTGGCTGCGGGAAGCTGGTAGACGTGGCACTTTGCTCTGAGACTTCCATCGAGAAGAGAACTTCATGTCCACAATCCAAGCCTGGAGGTTCTCACTTCATGCCGCACCCCCCACGGAAACATCTGCAAGCGAGATGTCTGTCTTCGTTCACCGAACGATCGAGTGAGGACAGCAGAAGGGGGCAAGAAAAGCGGGAGACAGAAGGATAAAACAACAGAATGAAGCCGCAGATGATGACAAGTCACGACATGGAAAACCCAAGTGGAACACGTAGAAGCACGCGCCTCAGCGCGATACAGGCCGTCGAAGAAAGCCTCTAGAAGAGCTGTAGCAGGGGACAGCCTCAGCAAAAAGCAAGATCAGTATTTGCGGAGACCCTGAGCCCCGCTGCTGGGGTCTGGAGAGTTGCTCCGAGCAAGTCCCCTGAAAGCTTTCAGGGGTCCCAGCCCCAAAAAGCAGCAGTGATCTGCACCCCTACATGGATAGTTTCCTAAATATTGGGGACCCAAAAAGGGACCCTAATTTAGAGAACTACCTACATGCTAAGCCCTTAGTGCCAAACCCGCTGGCCTTGGCAATCCCATCTTGTGGGCTGCTCTCTGACACTCGATCAAGACCTTGACCTGCTACTAGCCGTGTTGAAAGGAGAGGATGTGGGCCAGTTTTTTTTTTTTATCACCTCTTTTCCTTCGCCTGAGGGGTCCGGAATACCATGTTGGTGTGGGCCAGTTTAGGGTTTAGGGTTTCAGTCCCTCTCCATGAACCAGAGTTTGAAGTTCGGCTGAGACCGTGTGTCAAATGTAAACAATGCCCATGAAGAAGCAACGAGAACGGTCATCATTACTCTGTACCTTGTGTTTAACACAACAGCATGAACAGTTCAAACTATCTTTGCGACACTCATGGCGGTAGCTGTTGACAACAACACAGCAAGACAAAGGGTCAATACCATAACAGTAACAGTTACCGTGGAAACACTGGCATTTGACAAGACTTCCCGCATAGGCGATGACGAACACGACATCAACAACACCACCAGCAACAGCACTGTCAACACGATCAGCAACAACAACGACAACAGCAGCAACAACAACAACAACGACAACAATCACCACAACCATAGCAACAATAACACCAACAGCAGCAGCAAAATAACAATAACAATAGCACCAGCAACTGCTGCTGCAGCAATAACAACAACAACAGCATCAGCAACAGCAACAATTACAAGTACAGTTGCAATTGTTAGTTACAACTGTTGGAGTGAATACAGCAACATTAATGATGATGGAAACCTTCAGTATTAGTAGCGATCATAACAGCAGCACTACCACCACGACGACTACTGCCACTGCTACTGCTGCTACGACGACGACTGCTACGACTACCACTACCTGGCAACCGCTCCCTCCTACCTGCTCCCTGCTTGCTTCGGCCTGCGACCTGCGACCTGCTAGCACAATGTCACAAGAGCGACTGCGATTCTGATGCTAAGAAGACGAGCGGTAAGACCAATAATAATGCCAGAAACAACAACAGTAACGGCAATAACCGACTGCAACAACAACAGTAGTAATTGCAACGCTCATTTTAGTGTCATTTAACCAGCCTTGAACCGTCTGACACAGGACTTTTCGATGAGGCCTTGGCTGCTCACCAATGAGAATAATTTAACGAGCATTGGTCCCAAGCTACAACACAGTTCTCTAGCCAAGTGCATGGGCGAAGGACTTCAGAACCGAGTGGCAGTTCAACATAGGAGCCCAGTTCTGCACGATGGCGAAAACATCGTCATCCTCTTCAGCCACTAAAGGGTCGGGATATGTCGGGATGCCGGAAGGGCTGTCGGGTTTTGCAGCACAGGCCCATGGGGTTTTCGCGTTTTTTTGAAGATCTTCGGTAATTCCCTTTCTCTCCTCCTTTCCGCGGCTCTCGCGCAGGAGGAGGTCTAGGAGCTGTGCCATGGGGTGCACCGTGCAAAGCTCGTTGTCTGTGAGGAGTTCGTCCACCTGCGAAAGGGGCATACTCTGAGCCTACATCTAGTGCTGATGGTGGGTGATGCCGATCTCAACGATGACGGTGACCACGATGGCGGCTCGTCTGATTGCGACAAGGTTACTGGAGGTGGTGATATTGGGGCTGTTGATAGCGATGTTGTTGATGTTACTGATGGTGGTAACAGTGACGGCGGTGGAGATGAAGCAAGACAGGCGAAGGCAGGAACTATTTAGGTGCCGTAGTTGAGCTGCCACCTCTTCTCGTTCTTCTGACCGTGGCGACCGGAACTAAAAGCGCGCCGCTACGGCTGTGCCAGAGGCCGGACATGTGTGGTTGGGGTTCAACCGCTTTGATGGGGCCATGAAAGACTCGGCCTCCTCCACTAGCTTCTCCACACTGCCGTCCTCCTGAAACACTGTGGAAGCAAACAGGACTCTCAGTGGAAGCTGTCCTGAGAGTCGGTTTCCGAAGTGCGTCTGAACTCGCAATTACAGCAAAGTGGGTGCACGCCGGTCCTTCAGAACCCCTTCGCAGGTGTCCGTAAAGCCGGCGACTTTTGCTGGATCGTGGTCCTGCAAGTGTTGACAAGATGATTGGGGAATGCTGTGACGCCATGGTGGAGCCCTCGGGCCGTAAAGGCCTGCTTTTTGGAAGAGCCGGTGGAAGCCTTCTTCTGGGCTTGGCTGGCACCTTGCACGGCTACATGAAGGCATTATGGCATAAGTAGAGATCACCCGTCCAAACATGCAGTCACACAGCGTGTGCAGGCGGATGTGCACTCATGCAGGTACCACGGACACCCACACCCCATAGAAAAAGAAACACGGACACTGTCACCGAAAGCAGCACCTCAAACCCTCAACTCTCAAGCCCGCAAAAAGCCTAACGGTCTTTGCTGTGCTGCTGGGGAGCTCTTGATAGCCTCTCGCTTCTCCCGTGCCTCAGCCTGTCGGAACTTCACATTTATTCTATTGCAAGGGCTCTACTTTTTAGACTATTCCGGGTCTATAGGGAATCTAGTGTCAGGGTTCTACTGTATGGGGTTTTAGGATTTAGGGATACTCCGCCGATGAAAAGTACTGTTGCTTTTCTTCTCAGATGAGCAGGCAACGGGAACCATCAACGCGGTAGTCGGATCTCCTATTCACTCATGGTGCATATCTCGTCCTGGAAGGAGGACGCTTTTGCAAACAAGCGCCTCCTTGGCTGCCTTTAGCTCCAGCCTCCTTTGCTTTTCAGCTTCGGCCTGCGTGCGCCAGCGGAACCTTGGCCTCAAACCCTGGAGCGCAAGTAACTAAGCCCATCCCCTTTGCCTTCTTGTTCTCTTCGGCGCGCTTCTTCTCCATCTTCGCATCCTCTTCCCGCTGCCTGCGCTCATCCTCGACTCTTCTTTTGTCCTCCTGCTCCTTCTGCTTGCCTTGACAGGTTTATCATATAGGGCAACATAGGGTGAGTGCGGCAACAGTCCGCAAATCTGTGCGCCACACTTCTAAATTCTTCTTTTCGCCTCTCCTTGTCCTGAGCACTCGAAATTGACCGAAGCATCAAGTAATGCACTGCGCAATATGTCATGCAGCATCCTCACCAGCTCATGCGACTCAACTGCTATTTCGAACCGAGGTCTTTCTACCCAGCTCCTCCTCCATTCGCCTGGCGTTGTCCCTGTCGTTGTCCCTTTGCTCCCTTTGCCGTGCAAAGCGATCATCATCGTCGCGCTTCTTCTCCCCGTCCATCTTTGCCTGACCATGGATGGAAGCTTGCGAGATCTACTTGCACAAGCACCCTCTCTATGATTTGTGTAGCCTGTTCCTCCATCTGTCTCCTGAGAGCAGGCGGCACATACTTTCCTTGACCTCCGGGCGGCGTCAGATCACGGCAAAGGCCTAAGGCCTGCTTTTGATGTTTTACACGTCCATGTACGTTTATCTGGCCATCTTGAATCCTAATTCTCAGCCCTAAACCCCAAGCCCCTAGCTGCCCTAGCTCATGTCCCGCAAAGCCTGGCATCTGAACCGGGGCCGACGGCGCTGATGACCTCTCCGGCCCTCCTCTACGACCACCCCCTCCTCGCCAGTCATCGTCTTTGCTCGCCTGCTTGAGACATATTCTGGCTCGTACTTAGAGGGGTTTGATCCGTAGTTGAAGGGGATCTGGGCGACGAGCCATGTAGCGGAAAGTGCAAAGAGTAGAGGCTTTCCAAAAGATGAGGATCTGCAGACACTTGTAGCTACGACCAAGGAGTGGGCCTGAGTGTTGTCATCTCTGTTTTCCCTGCGGAAGCCGCCACCTCCTCCATCTCTGTCTCTGTCCCTGGGGCCATCCTGCCATTGCCGCCAGTCAGGCTCAGGATTGCTTCAAGCCAGACAGGATGCAACAACTCCCTCGAGTTGCCTGCCGGCCACCGCCCGATCGCCAGTCTCCTGCGTCTGCGCGGCTGGGTTCTCCATCACCCCTGCCTGGAAACGACACGGATACGCCGGATACGCACATTGTGCTGCACGCAAAATTGGATCGGAGACACCTTTTGTCCAAGATGCCCTTGCCACCTCTGTCTCTGTCGCCGAAGCGGTCGCCACGGTCACGGTCGCCAAAGCCGCCGCGGTCACTTGGGCCATCCTGGAGTGGAGGCAACGGCCGAAGGTATGACAGAACAAAGCCGAGCTCAGAAGTTTCGGCTTCGTGTGCAGTCGACTTCCACGCAGGCACAAGAAACACGTCGTAGGAGTCCTCATCTAAAGATTCATGCCTAAACCACTATAAGCCTTAATCCCTAAACCCTGAACCCTGATCCCTAACATCCCCGGTCCCTGGACCCTGCGGTCCCTGGGACCCCCTCGCCAGTCGCCGGTGTCTGCGCGACTGGGCTCAGAGTCTCCCTTACCTCAGACACGTCGGCTGAGGGGATTCGCCATGTCTATCGGTCCTTACTATTTGGGGCGTGTTGCTTTTGATGGGTTGAAGGGGCTCTTACTATCAGGATTTTTGTGATTTAGGCTCTTTGAGGTCTGTGGGGAGTCAGGTTAGGATCCCTCATTTCATGAAGCTACCACGTGGCTGCTACACGCAGAGCCACACGGCCCTGCCACGCCACGCAAAGGATCGACCAGGATTACTTTAACGATCAAAATCGCGATAGTGATTTTGCAAAAAACAACGATTATAGCAGGGAGAATGACAATGCACATGACAGAAAAACTAAAACACTAATACTTCTGACAATCATAATAAGAACATTGGTTAGTAACAGCAGTAACTATTGTAACAACAGCAATAACAGCAATAATAGTAACCACAGTAAGAAGAGCAACAATTGTAATAAGATTCACAATAATAATAATAGCAATAATGATATTGATGACAACTGTAACAAGTGAATACGAATTGTAGCAATACTATGCTCTATTGTCAATGCCACTGACACTACTCCTACTCCTACTCCTACTACTACTACTACCACCACTACTACGATTACTAGTACTACTACTGCTACTACTACTACTACTGCTAGTACTACTACTATTACTAATAAACTAGCACTGGTCCAAACCCCTGAGATTGTCAGCGTCTGTCAATCTGGAGGGCTGGAACTTGTCGGAACCTGGCAATC